TGAACCATCTGGCACAAACTCTGGGAGCCCCAGCCCCTAGTTCCCTTGATGAAGAAGTCTCCGCTGCAACACACCTCACCAGCCCAACACTCACCGTGCCAGCCTTGTCTTCCGGTTTGGACTCTTCTTCACTCTCCTCCTCCTCACTCTGGGCCAGAACAGCAAAGGCCGTGCTTTTTCCCTGAGCCCAAACAAAGGAATAGGTGGGAATTAGGAACCTCGGCTTGGGATTAAATCCCCCAGCCTCAGCCAAGGACAAGAGTGAAGGTTTTGGGTGCCCTCTAGTGCTGCAGTGAAGCATTAGGGTCAGCACCAGTGAGGTGTGGGTGCCCCCTAGTGAGCACACTGCCAGCCTTCACTGCACTAGGGCACAGCTTTCACAACAGGAATCCCTGTGGTCTGGGGAATGGCAAGGCCTACCTGCTGCTTTCCTTTGTTTCTCTCATTTTTACTTCTTTTATTCTTACTGTCTTCGTCCTCTTGCTGAAAAAAAAAAAAAATGCAAAGCAAATCTCACCCTGATGAAACAGCATCAACTACCCTGCACAAGCTGGGACTCGCATCACGCTGCTCCCAACCACTGCACTGCAGTCGGCAGAAACCAAACCACCCATTATGTACCTAGCTGGCTGGGCTAGGGCCCAGGTGTCCTGACTCCTAACCTAGTAGACTCTACGTTTGGAAACAGAACCCGGGAGTCCCGACTCCCACTGCTCTTCCTTCCCACAGTGTAGTGAGCCCCATTTCCTGCCACCCCAGAATGACAGCAATGTGGAGGCTGACTTTGTTTCCCCTTTGGCTTGTCAACCCTTGTCACAGCTTCTTTCCTGCTTTTTTCTCCTCTTCATGATAAAAGGCAGCCTGGAAGAGGAGGGGAAGGGCATGGAAGGTCAATCATCCATTTCAGCCATTGCCTTCCTACACAGAGGAAGATCATCCCTTCACTCCAGACTCCAGCATTCAAGCCAGGCCTGGTACAGAGAACTCCCAGATCAGGGAGGTCGCATTCCAGGCTGCTTGAGAAGATGACTCTCCACCTGCCTTCTCTCCAGCTGGACAGGACAAGAGAATCCTGACTCTGTCCCACCCTACTCTAGCCTGTTAGACCTTGCTCTCCTTGACGAGGGTAGGGATAGAGCCCAGGATTCCCAACTCCCAACTTCCCTTACCCAGTTCAAACCCACCAGCCGTAACTCTTCTCCCAGAGCTAAGAGCAGAACCCAGAGTCCTGACTTTCAGCCCACTGGGTACATCTCCTCTCAGTGCTGAAGACAGAACCTAGGAGTCTTAACTCCCAGATGTGCTTCCCCTCTGTAATCACTAGGGCCCTGCTCCCCGCTCACACTGGGTTGTGTCTAAAGAAGCTAACCTTGTTGATTTGATTCTTGTCAAGTTTGGCTGGTTTTGGCACCTCCTCCTCCTCTTCTTCCTCTTCACTCTGCTCCTGGCTCAGGGCTGCAAATACATTTCCTCCCTGCAAACAGCAAAGCTAAAGCCTCTAGCCATGGTCCAACACACTTCCATGTCCTGTGCTGCCCCTTGGTAACAGGATCATCCACTGACACCCAGGGTATGGAAGACACCCCACTGAGGCTCACCCCACTTTGGCTAGAACTGTATCTCATTCATAAAATCATACAGAAGTAGGGCTGGATGGGACATCTGGAAGTCATTTAGTCCAACACCCTGCTTGCAGCAGGATCATCCCTGTCCAAACCATCCCATACAAATCCTTGTCTAACCTAAAACTACATAATCTACTCCATCACACAGGAACAAGGCACGTTGACCAAAAACACCAGGAACCTGCTACAGAAAGCAGGGGGATGAGGGTTGTCGGCAAGTGTCCTACTGCTGCAAGCGTTGGTAAAATGCACTCCAGAAATCCACAGGAGAGGGTCACTCTACCAGTCCAACCCCCCTCACACTCTGTGCATTTGTAATCATAGCTGTCCCTAAACCCAGGGGTCCCTCCAGGCCAGGACTCACCTTCTTCTTCTTGCTGCCTTTGCTGACAGGGGCAACCACTGCAAAGCAAAACAGCAAAATTTCAGAAAACAATGCAAGAAGACACCATCTTCATCATGGGCATTTGCAGGGCACTGGAACCACAGAGCTCTCAATCTTCCTGTGGCCAGAGAGGACTGGAGGGAGCAGGCAGAGGCAGATTGGGTAAGGCTTGTACCCTTGGGAGCTGCTGCAGGGGGAAGCATCAGCAGGCCCAGCAGCAAAGGGATTAAAATGCAGCAGCCCACAAGTCAACAGATTCTCTACTGCACCTGTGCTGCAGCTCAGCCCCATTGCCCCAGCAACAAAGACAGCAGCTTCTGTAAGGTGGGGGATGCATTAAAACTCCTAGCTGCTGGTCCTACTGATACCTTTTCCCCCACAGCAGCAAGGCTCTCTCCCAAGCAATGCAAGGCTGATGAGGCCAGGGCTAATGGCAGGGGTGGAGACGACACAAGCCACCAGCTGCGAGTTATGCCAGCCCCCTGCAACATGACCAGAGCCTCAGGCTGGCTGTGACTTCCCCCTCTGCCCCTTCCCAAAAACCATCCTTGCTGTCCCTTGACAGCAAGGGACAAGCATGGATTCAGCAACATTGTAGGGCAGTGTCCTTTTGAGTCCATCTGGCACTGCCTTAACATCAGCACACAAAGCACACGCTTTGGAACACAGGCCTGTCTCCCTTCCCAGGAGAGAATCCTAATTCTTTGGCTACTGACTAAGTCTCCATCATGTCTGTTCTCCTTCTCCCTAACAAATCTTGAATTCTTGGCTGCCCAGTGGCTTCTTTGGCCACGGGAGAAAGAGAGAGGCTGGGTCCCTCAAAATGACTGTGGGTGCCAATACCCCACTGATAGCAATGTCTAGAAGAGGAAATAACATGGGCTTTTCCAGCACATCAGTGCCTGGTCTCCTCAGGATCCCATCTCTCACCTGTGCTACCATACTTGTTAAACAGTGTAATGCAAACAGATGGAGAGAAAACTATGGCAAGGGACAGGTGGAAGGGAAGGGAAGGGAAGGGAAGGGGCAGAAGTGCCAGGGAAGGACACAGTGTGTAAAAGAATTTCATTTACCGGTTATATTCACTGGTCATTACCAACTTTGTTTCATATGACATAAAATGCTCATACCCCAACCCAAAAATCACTAACAGATGTGCAGAATAATATAAGACACCCCTCACAACAGTTAAGCTTAGTCAGAGTTAGAGATATAACATGCATCCCCAATAAAAAATAATTTAGAGTGCAAGTGTAATGCACTTTAGGTCTCCACTAGAACTGGCAGAAAACGAAATCCAACTTTCATGAAAAATGCCTAAGTTCTGCATGTTCCAAATGAAACTCTCTCTCTTTTGGAAATGTAACGTATTAAAAAAAAAAAAAAAAAATTCAGTTAAAATTTTGAAGTTTTATTGACCAAATTGCTGGCTTCCAGTAAGCCAACTGGTTTAAGGTTGGTGACAACATCGTACAAAAAAGGATTGAAAAAAAGCATAACTCTTTGGTGTGGGAAAAAGTCAGTAAGTCAACAACAACTCAGGAATAGTTTCACAGTAAAAAAGAGGCTCTGCTTAACTTAATAATAAAGCAGTCTACTACCTTTGAGCAATTCTAGATTAAAATTCTAAAAATCATCTAAATGATTTATGAGCCAAAATCCCATTTCAAATTGAACTCTGCTGGCAGCAGCAGAATTGATGCTCAGTCATGTTCAGATCCCTTTATAGCTTTGGCTCTGTCCAGTCTTTAAAGTGAACGCAGCTGTTTCCTTGAGAATCCCCCCATGCAAGGAGCCTCCGCTGCTAGTGGAAGGGTCCTGCACCAGCACAGGGGCAGTGTAGGCGTTAAGGCTGATCTCTCCTCTCCATGGACCAGAGAGAGGCCAGTGCTAGTTACAAGAGCCCGAGCCCAACCTGAATCAATTGGGCAAGTTACATGGGCTGCAGAAACCCAAGATCCTCACCTCCAGCTCCCCACTGACCACAACCTCCAGAGCCTACTTCCCTCATGCAGGACCCAAGATTTCTGACCTTCAAATTCCACCCAGCCCCCAACTCTGCTCTGCTGTAACCCATTTCATCCCACACTCCCCCAGATCTGGGGAGAGGACCCAGGAATCCTGCCTCCGAGCCTCCTCCAGCTCACCTTCCTCATCCTCGTCACTGGCCTGAGCCGACAACTTCTTCAGCTTCTCGATCAGCAGGTTGTCCTCCACATCCTCCTCCTCTTTTTTCTTCTTGTCTTTCTTCTTATCTCGCTTCTTTTTCTGTTGCTGCTGTTGGGACGAGGAACACGGCTGAGGCAAGAGAGGCCACATCTGCACCCACTGCCCCGCGACCTCTCCAGGGGTGCAGGTGGTTAAGCCAGGGCGCCCCTTCCCTCGCTGGCAGGAGGCTTCTCGCAGGACACGCAACGAACCCCCAGCAAGCACCAAGAGCAGCGCTTCCCAACCCACAGATTGCACCCCAAAGGGGGTCACAAAAATATAGGAGCATCGCAAGCAAACTTGAAAACCAGACTCTCCTTTAGAGGAAAAAAAGTGCAGGACACGATGGGTTTTCCCTTCCCGGCTCCCAGTGCGTGGGGAGTGGCCGGCAATGTTTACAAACGGGTCCTGGTCCAAGAGAGGCAGAGAACCGCTGCCCCAGATGCCCCTCGGCCGCTCACCTGCTGCTGCTGCTGCTCCTCCTTCTCTTTCACAGCGACTTGCTGCTCGCTGACCTGCTTCTCCTCCTCTGCCAGCTCCTCGAAGAACTGGGGCAAGCAGGACACGTTTGTTAGAGACCTCCCAGCCCGCCCCTCCCGCAGCGCGGCAGGGATCCCCCCCCCCACAGTGCCGCGGGGTTCG